TTATATCTTCATTTTTCATCTTACGAAAATATGATACGTGCAAAATTGTAATCATGGGGCTATCCTTGGTCCCCAAGCCGACATATTATTAAACCAAAAAAAAAAAACATTTCTTGTAGTGATCTCGGCAACAACATAACTAAAATCTTATTCAACCCAAACAGAAATATTAGTAAAAACTTGTACCATCTCACTTAATTCACGTTTACGTTAGCAATGTTAATTATTTGTGGAGTTCGACATCGGGTGCACCACATGCCTTTATTAATATAACGGTGTCGTGACGCAGTTATTCATCTAACGGATCTACATTATTATTTTATTATTCTTCTATTAATGATTAAAAGTTGTATATTGATTGACCGAAGAGTTTGGATCCGAAGGTTTTTCAGAAGAGTCAACAATGCTACCAGTCTCGTGAAATTAAACGATGACAATAAAGTGAAATTAATGAAAAAGAACGATAAGAATGCAATTCAAACAATCACACAACACAAAATTTAAGTGATTCGATAATTTGTCTACGTTCACGACACTGCAGGGATTTCACTATTTTTAAAAAAGAATATAGAGAGGACGACGGCCGTATAATATCAATCCAAAAACCCTAATCACCAAATAACAATTTATATATGTTCTGCGCACAGGATTACAAAACAGGTCTAAAAATTTTTCAAAAAATTTTCTTTAAAAAACACGCAACATTTTTCGGGTCGGGTTGGATCATCATCTGAATCATACACAAATTAGACTCCACAAAAGAAACCCAACATCTCAAAGCTGAACTTTGGGCTGTTTTTGTAGGCCTCAAACAGACTCTGCACTTTGAAAGAAACTACATCCGGAAGATTGATTCATTGGAAGTCTTCAATCTTCTTGCTGGAAACTAGGCAGCTAGCCCTCCAACTAAAGTTCTCGTGGATAACTACAGATATATCATTAGAGCAACTCTAAGGAAAAGTGGTATTGAGGGTGGAAATTCCGTGACGTCACCTCAAATTCAAAAAATTTTATTCCAAGAGAGATAACATCAAGAGTTAAAAAATAGCATCAAAGCTCTTGAAATGACATTTTTGGCAACTGTGGAAAAAGAAAGAGAAATATTACAAATGAGTTGATAAATATAAATCCGTTAAATGAATATAAAATCAACGATTCATATAAATTAATAAATAAAAAAATAAAAATGACACCCCATTTTAGCACTTGTTATTGGAATAAATTTATAATTCAAAAATACCAAAATATTATAAAAGATTACAAATAAATAATTTATCACCCTAAAATAACAACTCTCTTTGGAGTTGCTGTTAGGATGAATGATATGGTTTTGGCCTACACCCTCACAGATGGGAACAGCTGTGCACATCACCTTGCTAATCTCGATGTGAACCAACTTGAAGAGTTGGTAGTCCTTGTTTTTGGCCACCTCATTGTTTTTTGGCATTTGTTATTAGCGGACATCTATGGTACTTGTTTTATTAGGAAACCCAAGTAGCTCAGGTTCCCCTCCAAAGCATTCAAATTAAAATTGACGATTATAATCAAATTTAATACTCTTCCGATGTGGGTGGATACCGTAGCCATATTCATGGCTCTTACACAATTAAAGTTTGGCGGTCATAATCTCTTGCTTTTGTGAGATGATTCGTCTCCGCCTCCTTGCAACCTTGGATAAAGATATCATATTCATAACGAGAATTGAAAAATAAGTGATTGTTAATTTTATTTGCATTCGGTGCATAATCGATATTGTCTACGATAAGATATGAAAGATAAGTGGTTAAAAACCTACCAACCACTTTGAAAAAACGAATATTCTCATACTCAAATATTTGATATATCAATTGAACTAATTAAAAATCAATAGGTCTTTAATCTAATAGTATTTCTTATTTTGTGAAAATTTTGTCTTCTTGATGTCAAAGGTAAGTCTTTTTCTCCCTTCCCCTTCTCAAAAAAAAAAAATGAACTAATTAAAAAATATTTTTTATCCTTCTAAGTCTATACTACTAATGGTGTGTTTGGATAGTGAGATAAGATGAGTTAACACAATAAGGAGAGACTAACAATGCAGTGCGACCCACAAATACTTTATTTGGAAAGACAAAAATGTGGTAGGGTATTTATCCGGGGTCCAAGCACGACCTGACTGCTATAGTAAATATTAACCCTCTTACATGGGTTAAAGTTAACCCACCTCCCCCCATGGGTTTAAATCCCAATTGATAAGTTTTTTATGGGTAATGACATATTTACCCTCTCATTTCTGGTTTCACTCGTTTCAAGTCAATTTTGGATTTGGTCACTCTGTGAAGGCGACGACAAAAGCGAACAACAAGCTGCTTCAAGGCATCTTGGTCTCTCTCTCTCTCTCTCTCTCTTTCTCCCTGTTTGACTGTTATACTAGCATGATGAAAATCAAGAGTTTTTGAATTGAGTTTTTTTATTGTGGTTGGGGATGGGCTAATTTACAAAAAAATCAGTATGTGTGAGTTTATATATATATCTGTGTGTGTGTGTGTGTGAGTTTGAGTTTATATATAAGTTGATTTGTGTGTGTGTGTATATATATGTGTGTGTGTGTGTGAGAGAGAGAGAGAGAGAGAGAGAGCGAGAGTTTATACCCAACTCTCGTAGAGAGAAAGAGGCTTTGGGGAGGTGAAAATGGATGGTTCTGGAAGAATTTTATGTGGTTGGGACATGGATGGTTGTGGATGTAAATTGATGCTTATTGGAGTGGTTTTTTCCAAAAAAATGTTTAGGGGTAAAATGGTTAAGTTAACCTAAATAATGTTTTTGATATCATTCATATATGTATGTCCCACAAAATGAAAAATTACTTACCAAGCATTGAATAGGACATATATCCAAACCAATGCAAGTGAGTGGTGGGTTAGACATGAGTACAAATGAATATAAATTTGATATCCTATTCAATCTTTTTCGAACATCCAAACACACCCTCCGTCTATACTATATCCTATCAAACATATAGTATTATAAAAAATTGTAATCATATTTTACGTCTGTATGCTAATAAGAATCTAAAAAGATTTAGTCTTGATTCCCAAGCAAGTTGCAAAAGATGACTCCTTTTTTTTATGGTTTTTTTAATTAATTGCCTTTTTTGTGGCTAGTGGACAATTACTGACAGGACTCATCAGTGATATTTCAAAAAACACCAGGAGTATCTTTAAAATTATGCATATATTCAGGGGGTGTAAAGTGAAATTTAATATGTGGTCTATTGATAAGTGGGCATTTCCCTCGTGAGACGGTGTTTGGTTAGAAACAACAAGAACATCAAAGGTTTGCAGATTCCTTGTCTGTCTGTCATGACCCAGGACTTTTAACTTCTTGCTGGTAAGACAGTCAAAACTTAATTGAAAGCTCTTACACCTGTTTTTTGAGAAAACTCTGTGCCTTTGAAAGTTCTTACACTTTGACTGTAGAGGAATCTAATGGAAGAATCAAAACAAACTACTACTATTTAAGTCTAAGTTGATGGTAAAAATTGCTATCGGTAGATTGTGACTGCACATAACCCCAAAACTGTTACCTTATTTTTCATATTGGTGCGTCGATAGTAAAATTGTTCAATTGTGAATTAAACCTTTTAAGTGTTCAATCATATACGTCATATTAACTATATTGTCAAATTCCATAATGACAAAAATATTTGTACACGGAACTTCTTATGTCGCACAGTTCAAATTTCATTAATCTAGCACTTTTATTTTTTAAATTGCTCAACAATAGACTTGGTTGATTAACACATACTGGTTATTTTGGGACATCCTTTTTTTTGGGAAAGTAATGTTATGTTTATCAAAATTTTCATCTTAAATGATATAATATAATCCTCATCAGTAAATGTTAATGAGACTCACTTATTTAATAGTGAAAATGATATCATATCACCCGGGATGAAAAAATTGGTATTAGATGTATTAAAAAGAAGGATAAAATTGCGCTACACAAATTTATTTACTAAATCTTATATCCCAGATAATGTGTTAAAAATGTTATACATTGAATGTTTGGTAGAGTTAATAGACTCTACTGATCCAATCACTTACACTGATTTATGTCGAATTGGCGGTGATTGATATTATTAATTTTTCGCAAGCTTTTTTTTAGCAATTATATGATTGTACTAAGTGCACGTTTTTAATGCCATAAACCTTACAGTTGGTGGGGGGACTTGGCCTTGACAGAACCATAAGATACCACTTTTGAGACATTGGAGTATCGAAGTCATCTTGTTGGTAATGCCTTTATAGGTAATTACTATTTTGTAGCGAAAATTAGTATATACTTTGACTTGTCTAAAACTCCGCAATATATGAAAACATTAATTTCGTACACCGAATTGCTGTTTATATGTGTGGGTTTGTGTGTACGAAAAGCTCCTTCAATTAACTCAAAAGGGTAATTCGAGTGGTAACAGTTATAAACGAATTATAGTAAATTTTAATGTCTTGAATTTGAATTTTGATAATTTTTTGGGATTTGATTATGTAAGATTTATTATTCATAAATACTCTAGTGCTGATGTGAATGACTTACCTTTGACTAGATCAAAGAAATAATTAGTCGAAGTGCACCTTAATTTTCAAATACTTCTTATTGTAAAAAAAAAAAAAAAAGAAAGAAAAGAGTAAGTCTCCTCACTTCTAATTGCTATAATGCTCAAGACAGGGACTAATAATCATGAAAAATGTGACAAATGGATTCAATTATTAAAAACCCATTGTTCATAGAAATTGCCAACAAACATAAAGTCTCAAAATCTCCCACCACTTGTTGGAGAGACTGAGGTCCCAACACGTGAAAAGACAAAAGGCTCAGCCAAACATACAACCTATCATAAAATGACGCGTGGCACCACACAGTGGTCACACACTTAACCTCCAGCTTGGTTTTTGTCTTCATGCATGGGCTGATTTTCCTCTTAATATGGGACCTCACAAGTATCGAGAGAGAGAGAGGAAACAGAGAGAGATCAGGCAAGCAAAGAGAGGTCAGGATTTCTTAGCAATCCACAAGAAGGTAAACCCAAAACCCTTATCCTATCTTCTTCTTACCTTTCACAAGATTTCCTTTCAATAGTTTCTCTCTCCTAGAGCTAACTCTATTTCTCTCCTTCACATTTTTCACCTCTCTCTCTCTCTCTGGATATTTATCATTGTATAACCCATTGTTTATCAGAGATATCAATCGTATTTGTTGTTGTTTCTATGATTTGTTAGTTATATCTGAGTCATCTGACTGAGTTTTTGAATTTGCTACTATATCTGTAACTCTTTCAAAGGCAAAGACAAGGAGAAGAAATGGCCCCAAGGTCAGGTAGGGGCAAGGGAAATAAAGCTAAGACAGAGAAGAAGAAGAAAGAAGAGAAAGGTTTAAATTTCATGCCCAGATTAATCTTATTTCTTAAATTCATTTTCTGCTCAAAATCAACTAATTAACTCAATGTTTTCCTTTTTCTTTTCTTCTGCAGCGGCACCCTGTGTTCTTGACATTACTGTAATCACCCCCCTTGAAACTCAAGTTATACTCAAGGTACTGAATTGATTTACTGGTGAAAACAAATCTGACTTTTTTTGATATGTAAATTAATTTTTGATAAGTGATTGGGTGATTAATGTAAATATGTGGAAATGAAGGGCATCTCAACTGATAAGGTACTTGATGTGAAAAAGCTGCTAGCTGTCAATGTTGAAACATGCCACTTTACAAACTATTCTTTATCCCATGAGGTGAGTTTAATTATGCATATAAATCCAAAATTCACCTCTATGCATTCTTAATTACTTGGGTTTTTTTTTCTTTTTTCTTTTTTTTTTTTTTTGGGGGTGGGAGGGAAGGGAGTGGTTGTGTTATCTTTCAGTGTGGTTGTTCAAAGTGGTTGAGATTATTAAAGTTGAAGGTTGTGAACAGGTTAAAGGACACAGATTGAATGATGGATTGGAGGTTGTTGCTCTGAAACCCTGCTTGCTGAGAATGGTTGAAGGTAGGTTTTGTTTTATACAAAGGGGAAGACTTTAAGGTCAAAAGTTATAATTGCAAAAGAGTATAATCGATCTTAAATGCCATATTTGTAGGAAAAGTTATAACTTCTAAAAAAAAATTATAATTAATTGAAGCAATAGATGCTGGATCACAATACTCCATAATCAATAGTGAATTATACTTGCACAAATATTGTACAATTTTTGTTTTTTTTTTTTTTGGGAGGAGGGGGTGGTAAGTAAATTTGTGCACAAACTTCAGGGTCTCGTGTGTATTTCGATTTCCGGGTGTATTGTGGAGGTTCCAATGCTGCACGAGCTGTCTTAGTCAATGTCTTTTTTGCCCTAATGTCGTGTAAAACAACTATGAATATTATAATATATACTTGGAGAAGAATATGCAAATGATGTATTTTGACACATAAGAAAAAATGAGTATTTTGATCCAATCCTACCCCTTATTTTTGAAAGTTTTGTTTTTTTGATGTAAAAAGGGTTTAAATCTCTTGGGCAACCAAAAACGGGGTTAGTTAATTAGTAGGATAGATTTTAGTTGCTTTGATGAATTATATCTAAGTTTTTAATATGAGTTTGAATCCTTATTGAAACGTAAATTTTGAATTAATTGGTATATGGATTGAAGAATCAGTTTATACACCTAAATTTTACTTTTTATTATACTCGAATTCTCGCATAATTGAAAGTGACATAAACGCGTCTTTACTCATNTACACCCAAATTTTACCTTTTATTATACTCGAACTCTCACATAATTGAGAGTGACATAAACGCGTCTCTACTCGTCAGGCAACAAATTTTATCCCTTAACCAAAAACAGATGGTTAATAAAATTTAAATTTTAAACTAATAGAAGTGAAATCAAAAGAATGACCATGTCAACGTCATATCTTTCATTTTTTAAGATTAAATGTTAATGTCGTACCATTTGATTGATTTCTTTTTTTGTTTTTTTTGTTTTTTGTTTTTTGAAAAAGTATTTTTTATTTTTTATAAGAATATAATAAGTAGTCTAAGAATTAAAATCAGTAGATTCCTTAGAATTTATTTTTTGGGTGAAAAAGCTCGACGTTAATTACATCAATGCCACTGACGTTTCAGAGGACTATACGGANAATTAAAATCAGTAGATTCCTTAGAATTTATTTTTTGGGTGAAAAAGCTCGACGTTAATTACATCAATGCCACTGACGTTTCAGAGGACTATACGGATGAGTCCCAGGCGTTGGAGCACGTGCGGAGGCTACTGGACATCGTGGCCTGTACGACACGCTTCGCCAAGCCCAAGTCCGGGAAGGTCACCACCACGGCCGCCAGCGGCGGCAGCGGAGCAGGAGGTAAAGCCAAGAAAAGTGGGACCCACCATTGCACCACCTCGGGCCCACAATCTTCACCCTCATATGGAGAAGCCCGACCATCAGAGCCGTCGGTCTCGGCGATTTCTGAGAGCTATGACATGGTGGCAATACACCCATTACCGAAACTCTCCGATTTTTATGAATTCTTCTCTTTCTCTCACCTATGTCCTCCTATACTAAGTGGGTTTGTCTTCTCTCTTCTTCACGTTTACTTTTATGCTTGAATTATTTTGCAAATAGGATTTTTCATAATCTCTCTGTGTGCGTGAGTTGGGCTTGCAGATTTGAGAAGAGTGGATCCTAAGGATGTGGAAGAGTCGCGAGATGGCGATTACTTCCAAATGCAGGTGCACGCTCTGTACATATTGAATTTCTTTTAAATTCTGAATTGTTGTTGTCCCTTTCATTCTTTCTTTTTGTAGTGTTAATGTTTTGTGTATCATTCTAATTTAATGAGGCAAACACTGTGATTACCATATGCAGATTAAAATCTGCAATGGGAAGTCAATACAAGTAATTGCTTCGGTGAAAGGGTTCTACACTTTGGGAAAGCAGTTTCTACAAAGCTACTCCTTGGTGGATCTTTTGCAACAGCTCAGCCAAGCTTTTGTCAATGTAAGTGCTTAATCTCTTACCCAACAAGTTATGGTTAGCAAGACCTCATCCTCACATGCTTTCTTATCGTTTTATGGCATTCAATTCGTACAATGCTTCTCAGACTTTACTCGGATTTGATTTAGAGCAAAAAGCAAGAAGACCAGAGCGAAAATACCCAGCCATTTTTTTTTTTCGTGTTTGATTTATTATTTTACATCCAAATGCATGATTAGATGTTGCCTTCACTGAACCCTTTTGGTCCAAGCTATCGTTTCTTGCAATTTAGTTTCAGAAACATATCAACTTAACTTGCAAATTGCTTAGTAATAAATCTGAATTTGTGTGCAGGCATATGAATCCTTGATGAAAGCTTTTGTAGAACACAATAAGGTGACATTTTATTTACTTAAAGAAGTTTCCACTGCAAATGCAACAATATCAGCAGTAGAAGTAAATAAGCTCTTTCTGTGATGTTTTTTTTCCAGTTTGGTAATCTTCCATATGGTTTTCGTGCCAATACATGGCTTGTCCCTCCATCAGTTGCTGATTCTGCATCAAACTTCCTGCCTCTGCCAACAGAAGATGAGAACTGGGCTGGAAATGGTGGAGGACAGGGAAGATACAGTGAATACGATCTTAGACCATGGGCCACGGATTTTGCAGTATTGGCAAACCTCCCCTGCAAAACAGAGGAGGAGAGGGTGGTTCGAGACAGGAAGGCTTTCTTGCTTCATAGCCTGTTTGTTGATGTCTCAATTTTTAAAGCTGTGTCAGCCATACGCAGGGTAATAGATTCTTCTATGAAGGCAAAAGATCAATCAAATTTATCTCCGGTCTCAATCTTGAATGAGGATTGTGTGGGGGACTTGACTATAACAGTAAAACGAGATTCCATGGATGCAAGCTTTAAGTCCGAAGTTAAAATTATTGAAAGTGAATCATCTGGTATGTCTGCTAAGGAAGTTACTCAANCGAGGATTGTGTGGGGGACTTGACTATAACAGTAAAACGAGATTCCATGGATGCAAGCTTGAAGTCTGAAGTTAAAATTATTGAAAGTGAATCATCTGGTATGTCTGCTAAGGAAGTTACTCAAAGGAATCTACTTAAAGGGGTAACTGCAGATGAGAGTGTGGTTGTACATGTAAGTAATTGTTCCCTGTAGCTTCACGGCTCACATTTTGACTTGTATTGATAGTATAAAAGAAACATAACTAATAACGAGCTAAAACTTGCAGATACAACGTGAGACGGAATATAGCTGCCTCCTTTTTTGATTGCATTAGTTTGATGGAGATGTATTTCTGAAACATTAGGATATAACTTTTACAGAAGCATATATTTGATACAGAGGGCCTTGGGAGTAATCTTTAGTTTTTTTTATAATGCTAATCTCTTTTTAACCTGAAGTGACTAATGAGCCAATGCAGTTTGTACCCACAGCTTTTGATTTTACATACTTTCAGAGAACATAATTGTTTCGTACTATTCTAACTATGGCATCCCAAATGGGTTATCAAATTTTGTCCACCATCGATGTTGACAATGCTTATATATGCAATAAATTCTCCAAGTTCCTAGTTCTCCTAGTCAATGTTTTGTTGCTTTGGTTGAAAGATTAGGTATAAGTGGATTAAATTATGAGCTTGGGAAACTAGAAATACAAGTTTTGAAAGTTCTGAAGTTTTCTGTTATAAATTAATTAAAAGGTTCTCAAGAATCAAAATTTGCAATTTTCTCTCTTTTTCCATTTTGCTCTNGTTCTCCAAGTTCCTAGTTCTCCTAGTCAATGTTTTGTTGCTTTGGTTGAAAGATTAGGTATAAGTGGATTAAATTATAAGCTTGGGAAACTAGAAATACAAGTTTTGAAAGTTCTGAAGTTTTCTGTTATAAATTAGTTAAAAGGTTCTCAAGAATCAAAATTTGCAATTTTCTCTCTTTTTCCATTTTGCTCTGACCGGGAGAGCTGAAGCATAGTTAACTTTCTCAGGACACTTCCTCATTGGGTGTTGTTGTGGTGAGACACTGTGGATACACTGGAATAGTAAAGGTCGTTGGTGAAGTTAAGAAGGGACAATGCAGGATTCAAGATGTTGATCTTGACGATCAACCAAATGGAGGCAGCAATGCACTTAATGTTAACAGGTTTGATTCAATACTCCACATTGTGTGGGGGATAATTTTTCTTTTGATGGCTGTTTTGTTTTTGTTTTTTGCTCTTTTTATGGATTTATGAGGGTTGGACTACTTGTTCACCCTTGCTTGCACTTTTTTTTTTTTGGTTCTCACTGATGAAAAGTTTGTTTCTTATCAAAAAAAAAACTCCACTTATGTTTGCACACAAAACATAAAATACAGTCAAGGATGTAAAATGGCATTGTCATCTTCTTAAATAAAAAACAACAAGAAGTTTTTTGTATTAAGTCTCCCACCCCATAATTAAACTTAATATGACAGCAATAGTGCTCCTTACCATCATACAAAGGGCCATTATAGGTAGCATCCCAGACTGGGAATGCCTATATGGCCAAATTTACAAAAAGAATGCTTAGTCCAGTTGTACTCCAATATTTGATGAGTAAAAAATGGACCAAAAAAGTGAAATCTGAATTTATGTGGGATTATCCACACCTTGTAGAGCATGTTTGGAATTGTTTTAAATTTATGAAATGTACTTTAGAGGCAGACTTTCTATTTTTATCCCATGTCATCCTTTTTATTTTTATCCCACTTGAGGGAAATGCCAGTTAAAGGCTCCGCAATTATTCATGCTTTTAATTCCTTTTCACCAGCATATACTCACACGCAAAGGAAAAGCAAACATCCCAATTCTCTCGGAGCAAATAACTCTGAAATATGCAAGTTCCTTGATTGTTATTATTCTTATCAAAGAGTTCTTCAATCTTGGAGACTATTTAGTGTTGTTATACGCCAATATTATATACTTGTATGCGATGGACTCATTACATATTAAACCTTCTTACAGCTTAAGGGTTTTGCTTCATGGCTCATCTAGTGCTGAATTGTCCGGAGGATGCCTGTCACCTCAGTCTGATTTAGGTGATATTGAAATTTCAAGAAGTCTGGTTCGTAGAATAGTTCGAGAAAGGCTGAGTAAATTAGAGATGGAGGTGGTTTCCGAAAGGTCTATCAGATGGGAACTTGGTTCTTGTTGGATGCAGCATCTACAAAAGCAGGAAACACCTGCAGATAACTGTTCTGAAACCCCCAAAGATGAGGACAATAAGGCAAACCAATTGGTTAAAGGACTAGGAAAGCAATTTAAAATGCTGAAGAAGAGGGAAAAGAAACTAAATAATGCCTGTAGTCTGGAAGTTAATGAGGAAACTGATTCAAGAACCAGCAGCTTGGGAGACGTAAACAATGGTGAGTCTACCAATGAGGTGGAGTTGAAGAAATTAATTCCTGAAGAAGCATTCTTACGTTTGAAAGAAACTGGGACGAGTCTTCATTTAAAGGTACTGTTCACANCAAATAATGCCTGTAGTCTGGAAGTTAATGAGGAAACTGATTCAAGAACCAGCAGCTTGGGAGACCTAAACAATGGTGAGTCTACCAATGAGGTGGAGTTGAAGAAATTAATTCCTGAAGAGGCATTCTTACGTTTGAAAGAAACTGGGACGAGTCTTCATTTAAAGGTACTGTTCACAATCATTGGGCATATAATGCTAAGGCAATTGCCATATTATTAGTTTGACAAGCCCAAAAAGAAAGTGAAAGAAAAAAAAAAGACTGAAGGAGAAAAGGGTATTGCTTTGCGCTGGATATTCATTATAATAGTCATTGGCTGATTAGCAAATTATCTCTTATTTTTTATTGCTTACATTATCACTCTTCCTCTAAGTTAACTGCTTAAACTTGATTCCTGTAACAGTCGGTGGATGAGCTAATCAAGATGGCACACAAGTATTATGATGATATTGCTTTACCTAAGCTGGTAATACTTGGTATATGCATTAAATTTGAATCAGTTGAAAGTCTACCATTGTCTTATGCATCTTGCAAACTCCACTCATAACTTTAGGTAACTGACTTTGGATCGCTTGAACTTTCACCGGTTGATGGACGCACTCTGACTGATTTCATGCATCTAAGAGGACTACAAATGCACTCTTTGGGTCGTGTGGTGAGAATCTCTCTCTCTCTCTGGTGAGAAAATCTTTTGCGCGCTTTGTCAAAGTAGCAATCACTCCGAAAGTTTAAATTATGAAAAAATGAATCCAACAATGTATATCAAGCTCTGAACTCGCACATCTTGAGTGATCCTCTCACACACTTGGAATTGACAGGAAGAGTCAGTGTTGGGTGCACCATTATGCATGAACACAATGAGGGAGCCTTATGCACAGTAAGAGATTTGAACCCAAGATCTTATTGACATACACTTTGTACCATGCTAGCTTACCAAGAGCTTATGCTGTTAGAGAACGGACCCAACAATGTATGGCTTTCAATGCATGCAATGCCTGAACTCTCAGTTATGATGATGCCTCTTGTGCAAGTCAAATGCCATTTGGCTTTGTGCCAATCATATTCTTTTTGAAGTAATGCATGGTGCATCAAACAGTAAAATATCTGCATAAGCATCAGTTGAAACAAAGTTCTGTAGAAGAAAGGTGTCTTATTTTTCACTTGAATGCAATATTAACGGCATACTAAATTTGATCTTATTTTACGCACCAGGTTGAACTTGCGGAGAATCTTCCTCATATACAATCACTCTGTATTCATGAGATGGTCACTCGAGCTTTCAAGCATGTATTTAAAGCTGTTATTGCTTCTGTTGACAATGTGGCAGACTTGTCTGCAGCAGTAGCGTCATCTCTGAATTTCTTGCTTGGTGCCTGCTCAATGGAAGATAATGACCAAAACTCGAGCGATGATCACATCATCAAGTTGCAATGGTTAGGGGCATTTCTTGTGAAAAGATTTGGTTGGAGGATAAAAGACGAATTCCAACACTTGAGGAAGTTATCGATTCTCCGAGGACTTTGCCACAAGGTATCATCTACATTGATTTCTTTGATCTTTTTTTTATCCGAAAAGTACTTTTTTATAATTTCTTCTTATCCAGGTTGGATTGGAGCTTGTTACAAGAGACTATGATATGGAAAGCCCAAACCCCTTTAAGAAATCTGATGTTATCAGCTTGATTCCCATGTGCAAAGTATGACTCTCTCTCTGTCATATATTGCATTTTACATCCATCTAGATAATTCGTTGATTAATGGATTTTCAATGACCTTGATATCTGATGATGCTCAACAGCATGTAGTATGCTCTTCTGCGGATGGGCGAACTCTACTAGAATCGTCCAAGATTGCGCTAGACAAAGGGAAGCTAGACGATGCTGTTAATTATGGGACACAGGTAATAGGCATTCCATTATGGGTGGCAATATTATTTCCAAATAGGACAAAAGCTTATCCAGTTCATGTCTAACTTAAATGAAGGCTCTAGCAAAGATGATAGCTATATGTGGTCCCTATCATCGAACAACTGCAGGCGCATACAGTCTTCTAGCAGTGGTTCTTTACCACACTGGAGATTTTAATCAGGTAATCAATCTTTTTGACTTTTTCTTGTACCTATTTTAGTGTGGTTAATTGTCACAAATGACTCTGATCGTTTTTGTAAAACAAAATCACGTATTCTTTCATTTGAAGAAGAGATTACCTGTTTACTAGGGGAAACAATATGTTCAAGTGAACTTATTGTGATAAAGGGTAGAGAACATCCTATAGCTACATAAAACTCAAGATGTCATATATTGCTACATGGAGATTACCAAGTAAAAATCTTAAAGTGAAAAATCTCATAAAATAAGCCCCATGGCTACCTCAAAGCCGTGTATATATCGTATGAAATACTGGATATATGTTAAAGACCTAATGCAGCTTAAACTTTCTGTAATAACTTAAAATGAAAATCAGATTTGTTTTTATTATTAACTTTTTCTGTATGGAGAAACTCTATCCATATTCTGTATAAGCTATTGGACATATGAGGACAATTTAAATCAGCCCTAACATTTTGTTCGCAATAATGCTGAGTTACCTCCTTTTCTTGGATGATGGTATCTCAAACCAAGGATGGCATCTGAAAGTTTTGATACTTCTGCGTAAGAGCAGTCAAGTTACTTTATTTTCTGACTTTTAATCTTCTTCCTTGTTTAGGCAGCCATATATCAACAAAAGGCTTTGGATATCAATGAACGGGAGCTTGGGCTGGACCATCCAGATACAATGAAAAGCTATGGGGATCTTTCAGTGTTTTACTATCGGCTCCAACAAATTGAATTGGCACTGAAGTGAGTGTAATATGACCATGTTTTGACATTTTGTTCTTCACTTTTACATTGCTTTATTTTCTTTCTGTCCACTCACTGGCTTTCTGAACTGGAGATAATATGTAATCTTTGGCAGATATGTCCACCGTGCTTTGTTCCTTCTTCGTTTTACATGTGGGATGTCTCACCCAAACACAGCTGCAACTTATATAAATGTGGCTATGATGGAAGAGGGCATGGGAAATGCACATGTTGCTCTCAGATACCTGCATGAAGCCCTTAAATGCAACCAAAGATTGTTAGGAGCAGATCACATACAGGTTTCTGTCTCTCTCTCTCTCTCTCTCTCTCTCACACACACACACACACATATACGCTCGTGTGCACACACACAAAACATACCTGCACATGCTTGTACTTAACTCAACTATGTCTCGTTCCAACATTTTTGGGGTCGGCTGCATGAATTTTTTTTCGCCATTGTGCATTTGTGCTATATCAAGAGTCATACTTTTTGTTGGATCATAAGTTATCATATCTTTTTTTTTATTTGTTTAAAGTTAGTTTTGGTCTTCCTTTACCCCTTCGATTACGGTCAATCAAGATCATATCACTCTTTCTTATTTGTGCGATAGTGTCTATAGATGTATCCAAACTATTTAAGTCAATTCTCCATTAATTTATTTCCTGTGTGCAACCTCTACCTTTTTCATGGATGGTCTCATTCCTAGTTCTATCATTTTTAGTTTTACCTCGCATCCATTTTAGCATTCTTATTCCCGCCACATCCAATTTTTAAATGTGTATATATTGTTACACGGTTGCTTGCATATTTTAATGTCCTAGGAGCTAACGTTATTATCTTTTCATCTAACAGACTGCCGCTAGCTATCATGCTATAGCAATAGCTCTTTCCATGATGGAAGCATATTCCCTCAGTGTGCAACATGAACAAACTACACTACAGATTCTTCAAGCCAAATTGGGTTCAGAGGATCTTCGTACTCAGGTGACTACAAGTTTCATGACACATACCATCATCAGTACTTTCGACATATCAGGCTGTAGTGGTTACTTTGGATTCTTTGTTACTTCCTCTGTGTTCCAAGAGGGAAAACATAATATTTTACCTTGTTGCATTAATTTATACATAGAGGTTGACAAATACAGACAGCTGCTTCATTTGAATGCCCCTGCCTCTATTGTATTGGGAAGATTTCATCCCTGTAAAAATATTAGCACAAATACTGGTGATATTTCCCTATAATTTTTTAATTTCGATTTCTTTCTCATCTTGCAATTATGAGACTTCTACTACTTGACTGCTCTAAAAGTTTCCAGACTGATTGCATGTTAAAAAAATTAAATACTCCAATAAGTAGTTGGTGTAATTGCAACTTATTGTGAGAAGCTTGTCATCACTCAATCAATTATCATAATATTTGAGAAGTTGTAGAACTGATATATTGATGTACATGCAGGATGCTGCTGCCTGGCTAGAATATTTTGAATCAAAAGCCTTAGAGCTGCAAGAAGCGGCACGAAGTGGAACTCCAAAGCCCGATGCGTCCATTGCCAGCAAAGGTCACCTTAGGTATTGAAACGGTATTCCCAAATTACAGGTTTTAAACTGTGTGATCATATCTTTACACACCAAAACCTTTGACCTTTGATTGCAGTGTATCAGATCTCCTTGATTACATCAGTCCTGATCAGGAATCAAAAGCAGGAGATGCACAGAGGAAACGGCGTGCAAAGGTATTTCGATACTTATGTAGTCTAGGGAACCGAGAAAGAGTATATTTTTTCCCTTTTGGTCAAAATTTGAATCATCTGACCCTAAAGTGACCATAGCTATTGATCCTGCTGCTGTTNTTACTTGTCTAGGGAACCGAGAAAGAGTATATTTTTTCCCTTTTGGTCAAAATTTGAATCATCTGACCCTAAAGTGACCATAGCTATTGATCCTGCTGCTGTTTCAATTTTTAGTATAAATAACCCCATCAGCGTTAAGAATTTACCCAGTAGTTCCCTACTGGTTGGTAAATTCAAATTCAAACTTGGCATGGGAGAGCAAATCTAGTTGAAGGAAGGTTCAGATAAAATTTTGGTGCACTTCGGAAACCAAATCTAGTATAATTTCAGATGCAAATTTCTTTATGAGCATTGGAGAATTTTGACTTAATTTTTTATTGCTCAAAATCTGCAGGAAACCTGAGAGAATATGGCCTTTTTTATTTGTTCCACAAATTATGTCAATGAAAGGAATAGAAATGTTTGGTCTACCAAGTCTAGCCTAAATTTCATGGGAAAATTTGATGTTTCCAGTATAAATTTTCCAAGCTATGATCATAGTAAATCACCCGTGAAACATAATCCAAACAAAATCGCATATATGAAGTCTACTTTCTCAAGCCGAATACATAATTAACTTCTTCTCTTTCCTCCATGATCTGTTAGGTGTTGATGATTAGTGATAAATTTCATCAAGTGCAGCATGATGGACAAAATGGTGACACCGTGACTCGCAATGGAACAGAAACCTCAGTGGTGATAGCAAAAAGCAACACAGAGGAGGATAAGGAAGATATGGTTCTTCCCCGAGAACCCAAGGACAGCGATATCACTAGACTTGATCTTACAGTTGCAGAAACTGGCACAGAATCAAGCTCAGATGAAGGGTGGCAAGAAGCCAATTCAAGAGCACGATCAGGAAATATTGCTGGCAGGAAAGGTTGCAGGCGACCAGATCTTGCTAAGCTAAACATAAATAATTCTGACTATAGTTTTAGAGATGGCAGATACAGGAAGGAATCCGTTTCACAGCGACAGAAAGCTACATCCAAGACAATTTCAACTGAATTGTCTCCAAAGAAGCAGTCAAAGGTTCTTAGTTTGAGTACTGGTGAGGATTTGAGTATACTGTCAGCAAAAACTTCAATTTGTCAAGCTTCTCCAGTAGCAATCCCCAAAGTTTCTCCCATTACTGCCAATCTCACAGCCATTGCTTCAAAAACTTTGTCATACAAAGAAGTAGCTGTGGCACCACCAGGTACGGTTCTAAAGCCCTTACTGGAGAAAGTTGAAGAATTAAAAGAGGAAAAAACTGATACCCAAATCTGCAATAGTTTACCTGAGCCATCAAAGGAGGATGGAAGTGACACAATCGCCGTAGATGAAGCAATACCAGATGATGAAGATACAAAAGGAGTCAAGGATTGTGAAATTCATGAAATTGAGCCTGAGTTCAAAAAATCTGCTTCAGAACTTGTGGATGTTCCGTGTTCAGGTAATCAGGATAAACCGATAGAAATGAATGGGAGCAAGCTTTCGGCTGCAGCTCCACCATTCAATCCAGGTGCCTTCCCTTTGACTCACCCATTAAACTCAGTTGCTGTCACTGGTGTCTACGATGTAATAGCCAACCAAGGCATGCTCGCAGAGGCAGTGGGATTCCCATCAGTTGCTGCCAGAGTTCCTTGTGGGCCTAGATCACCTCTATATTACAAACTAAGCCATTCTTTCCGCATGAAACATGGGTTTTTGAAATACCAAAGGCCCATCCCTGAAAGGACTGGACTTGGTTGTGCAAGAATCATGAATCCAGATGCACCTGAATTTATTCCCAGAAAATCTTGGCAAACAAATCATACAAGTGAAGATTCAAAAGTTTCAACTGATCCAAGTTGTTTGGCAGATAGTAATAAGGGATTCTCCACAGAAGAGAAGCGCGAGGACAAGGACAAGGACAAGGACAAGGACGCAAATGTGGCCAAGGATAACAAATTCAGAAAAAGCTCTTCAGATGCAGAGAAAGCAGAGCTAGCAAGGCAGATGCTACTTAGCTTCATTGTAAAGTCAGTTCAGCATGATTCTGATCCTGCAGATGACAATCCAGTTAGCAAGAAGGCAGCTGAGTTTCCAGAAAGTTCTGCTGAAGCATTTGCTAATGACAGTGCAATAACAAAAATTCTTTATGGGAATGAAGGAAAGACAACCCTGGTTTCACAAGCTCATAATAACGAAGAGCCAAAATCACCAGATGTAAATAAGAATAAGCATGGTGATGGAGAAGGATTTGTGGTCGTTACAAAGAGGAGAAGAAGCCGACAGCAATTCACAAACAGGGTAAGCGGGCTGTACAACCAGCAATCGATCTGTGAGTCAGTCCGTTGAAGATAAAGAGGAGAGATGAAAAGAAGCCATAGGGCAGGTCTTCTCCTTTACATATCCCAGTATAAGTGTGGTAGAGATCTCTTCACATCACAATTTTAACATTGTAGACATGTCTGAGAAGCAATGTAGTAGAGGTTCAAAGGCTCGTTGTATTTGCTAAATGCAATCATGAAGTTCACCGATGATTGGTTCAATTTTTGTTGATTAAGAAGCCCTTGTGGGATGTTTAACAATGTATTTAGAGGTTTGTTTTTCTCTTACCCAGAAATTTTGTTGAATAATGAAAAATCTAATAGGTTTTTGTCACCTTTTCAATTTTATTTGCTTTATGGTTGAAACCTTTGATGTTATTCTTTTCTAATGACTAGCTATTTATCCTCTGTTAGTGCTATTGTGATTCACATAGAATGATAAAAATAGAAAGATTACTTTGTTGACACGGAATTAACAAGTTTAGATATGACATTGTGAGAAACTGGTGAACCTGCCCAGCTCCTCTTACTTGAGGGACCGATATGAACTCGACTAAATAGTCCAAACTCATGTGGACAGATCGTGGCTTCTATTATCATATGTATGCATTTCAAAGATTCCTTTAACTTTAGGGATTAATTCGGAACTAACACGCCACAAGAATGGTTGTTTGGTGTTGAGCTTATCACAAACTCAAAAGACCAAAAAAAGTCAAGGACAAATTATAATTTGTAACTTTAAAGTATGCACCTAATTTTTATTTGATTTTTCGGAGTTTTATTGCAGCAATCAAGTTTTAATTGAGTTTCAATTTACTGTTTACATCAAAAATACCAATTTATTATGAGGGAATGATTTCCCGTGCCCAATGCATGATTTGGGTAAAATAGTATATTTGTTTGGTGAAAAATTTGTTAGTGTAGGTTAGGAAAAATCTTACTTTATTTTATCTTAATCTGAGAAGAAAAAAAAGAAGATAAAACTCCCCCCCAAAAAAAGATATATAGTGAAAATTTGAGAGATATTTTGAAACAAAGAGAAATATCTATATATTTGAGAGAGATTTTTTTGTTGTATAAATATACCCTTATGGGCACGTCTTATAACGTCTTTCTATTGAAGCAAATTAACAAATCTGGATGAAATGGTTAGATTGAAACTCGGTTAAAACTTTAATGATGTAATTGTATCAATTAAAACTTTAAGAACCAGATAAAAATTACGTACATACTATACGTTAAGGGTATAAATTATAAACTACCCAAAAATAAAAAAAAAATTAATATGAGAAAATGTGACTTGTATTGCTCCGAAAGCATGACTGAGAAAGTTAAAACAAATACGCAATAAAAGAGAATTAGGGGGCACTTTTGATAATAATAGCTTAGAGAATAATTTCCACATAAAGAAGCTTTTGTCTTCCAAGCATATCATCTATCTTGGAATTCTATGCTTGGAATTTATGCCAACCTCGTGTTCATATTTGGGCATGAATTTAGCTTTCATGAGTTATGGCCATAATTGGATTCATCCAATTGGATTCACCTTATAGATGGGTCATGTGTGAGTTGAGTCAATTAATTTAGAAAAATATAATTTATACAATTTAAATATGACACAAACTTGTCTTAAATTAATGATACAAAATACAACATGTTAAAAGCATGCGAAATGTAAATGAATTTACCAAATTATGAATTCAGTCTTCAAGCCATAAATTAGACTAACCCACTAAAAATTTAATAATAATGATAACTCGTTAAATTATTGTTTTAAATAAAAAAAATTGCATTATAACGTTATGCAACTCTTTTTAAAATAAAAATAAAATTCTGCTTCCGACCCTAAAATATAACAGAAAAGGGAAGGGAAAGTATATTTGTCCTTAGATAAGGTTCTTGGGAACTTCCTGTCGCAATCTTAGCAGAATAGAATTAAAGGCCTAACTATTTCTTTTCTTGTGTCATTTATTTTCACGAGTTTAAGACACTTCTTGTCATCTTTATTTTATTTTGTCATGCACTATTATAAGAGAAAAAGAACAATTATTTTCAAATATATGATGATAATATTCAACAAAAGGGGCGGTGACCATTAAGTCAACCGCTAACATCAATCTCATCTTTATTTTCAGAAGCATAGAATTCTATGGGTGGTCCAGTGCCATTTCATATGCCCAGAAAGTCAAACAGTACCATTGTTGCAACTTCCAACAAATTCCTAAGCTAAGCTTTAGAAGAACTTTGGCAGTGTGTAGATTCTTGAATGAGATGCCTCCTCCACCTGCACCTTTTGAATTTTGATGAGGTTTGGATAATCAAGATTATTATTTCAATAATCACCTAAGTCACCAGGAAAGAGAGTATAGTGAGACTTAAATGGGATGTACCCATTAGATAAGAACCAATGATACTTGTAATCTCCTTAACAAATCGATGCAATCAATCGAAATAAGAGATTAAATGATGTGATATTATTATTTTAATTTTAAATGTGTAAAATTAGGAATAATAATATTATTATGATAATATCACATCATGTGATCCCTACTTTTAATTTTTTTTAATTAGTCTAATATTACTAAATATTTGATTAATTCTTTAGATGATTACCAAGGGAAAAATTGAAACTTAGAATGGGTAAGTTTGTAAGGCGGTCATTGTCTAATTGTCTTTAATGACAAGAAACCTTTTTAAGAAAGATATGGCGACTTAACTACTTCTTTAATTTAATCTTAAATACTTGTAATTAACCACACGTACTATAAGAATCAAATGAACAATTATCCATAGAAAGTAAATACAATATATTTTTAAAATTATCCCCACACCACTAACAATAATACGTAGAACTGTAAACTCAGACGTCTTCAACTTGAATTTTAGTAATTTTTTGAGACTAGGTTCATAAGTGATTTATTTCTCGTGAATACCCTAATTTTAACGTAAATAATCTGTCTTTATCCGAATTGAAGAGGAAATTAATCAAAATATATGTAAATTGACTCAAATATAAAAAAAAAAAAAAAAACAATTATAGATGCAGAAAAATCTTATCCGTATAGTTCTCATGTGAAGTACCTGTGACTTTGAAATTGAAGTGTCCATCACCATTAGAGAAAGTGGGCCACTACAAATTGGACTACCAAACTTAATGTAAATCACTACAATATGATGTCTATTGACCTGGCAGTGGCAGAACATTATTAATTACAGAAGGTCTGAAAATAGAAGTTGGTCTGAAAAAAACAGGACTCTCTCACTTTGCCCTTATTGCCATTAAGTTTTACCATTAATGATGTAGATACTACCCTCTTTTTTTTCTTTTTTGTTTTTAACGGACAGAGTGTTCGAATCAATTTATACTCTCTTCGATTAATTTTTAAATTTACAACTCATTGATGATACTACTTAAACTACCTTTATGCACCACTTCTTTTACACTATACATCCCTTTTTTTACACCACCTAATGTGACATAATCAGAGCAATTAGAAATTTGATAAAATCTTTGACATCTACTAATTTAATGGTCTAAGTTTAATGTGTTGCATAAAGATAGTGCAAGAAAGTTGTACACCCGGCCCATAACTAGGTTCATTTTCGGGTGAATGACCTCCTTATCTCACTAGTGAGAGTTTATTTGTATGGTTTTTGAGGACTCTCTTTTGCTCTCACCTTTTTTTTTACCAGGAAAAAAAAAAATCTATAGAGCTTCTCATGCATTAATACTACAACAATAATACTATTTAAACTTGATTTTACTCACAATTATTAGATTGATAGTGGATCCCAAAAAAATATTGTAACCTATTGTCAATCTAATAGTTATAAGTAATTAGATTAATAAATTAATTTCAAGTAGCATTGCTCATGCTCTAAACCATTTTTTACATTTGATATTATTAATTAATTAGGGCTAATTGGTGTCTGAATGTACGGCAAAATATAAATAGTTTTAAAAAGGATGTTAGTAATCGTTATATGAATTTATTTAAAATTATCGGATAAACTTATTAAAGTCTACCTTTTTTATATTATAGATTATAAATGTAACATTGTAGAATTCAAGCTCTTTGCTGTCACATACAAATAGTCAAGTTACTTACAAGGTACATCAAATTAGCTAGGGGTGTTCAAATTTTCGATCGATCGCAAGTTCATACCATATCCGACCCTACCCTACCCTACTGAACGGCTAGCCGCAAATATCGGATAGGAATGCGGAAGAGTTTTTGGTCTTTTGACAATTTTCGGATAGGAATGCGGAATAGTCATCCATTTCCGCATTCCTATCCTACCTTACCACAATAATTTATATATATATATATATATATATATATATATATATATATACTAAAACAACCCTAATCTACAGAGTCCCAAGAGTGTCTGTACCTCACACCTCACTCGATCACTCCATAACTCCTTCTTCTCTCTCTCTCTCTCTCTCTCTCGTGTGGTCTGGCTTGGAAGGTCTGATCGCAGACCTTCATCTACAATAACAGATCGGTGCCGCTGTGCACGATTTGGTCATGAGTTGCAAATCAATGCGCAATTTGATCGTGTCTGATCTAAGTTGCAAATCCTATGTTGCAGATCCATGGATTTTTATCCTATGTTGCAGATCGTGATGGCCTGGTCTTTGTTCCTGTGTTACAGATCTGGCTATTGTCATTTTGTTTGTGTATACTTACGAGTAAACCTAAATATGGCCTATGGTTGGATATTGTTTGCATATGTCTTTCTTTTAAAAGGACAAACACCACCTCTCTCTCTCAAATATTTTTTTTTTTGGATGGTATTGGTATGGTGGGTAGTATTTTGTTGGAATGGCCTTGGAACCAAGAGTAGTGATGATACACAAAATTAAATAAATTGTGTATGTTATTTAGTTAAATTGTTAAAATGATCCAAAAATTAATTGTTATAAAAATGTTTACACAATTTCCTATCCGATTAATCGGATAGGAATACCATACCTATCGAGTAGGGTAGGTCAAGAAAAAACTCTTCCGTAAAGTATCGAGTAGAAAGACAGGAAATATATTTTTTACCCGTCAAATAGGATGAACACCCTAAAACTAACAACCTCTTGTTGTGAAAAACAAAGATAAAACTAACAACCTCTTGTTGTGAAAAACAAAGAGATGACATAATACACAAAGTTTCGATCACATAAAAAGAAAATGTAAGTAATCTTATTTTAACATATGAAGAAATGACTTTTCTGACACAAAACCTTAGCGCTTAAGAAGTTATAATAGAACAACATTATTATCACGGCAAGTCCACCCACTACTAGCCGCCTCTTGTAGTTGCCTTAATTTTCCAATCCTTCATTTATAATTATAGTGTTCAAATCACCCAATAATCAAACGATATTTCAGAATTATAACAACCCAATGGCTCAATTGATCAAATATGTCTTATAATAAGTAAGAACTCTCGATACTTTTTATCCTTTCTAAAGATTAATCACCCTTATTTCTTGTGAATAATCTTGGAATAGTCGGCGCAACCCCTTTGACATTCTTCTTTTTCCCTCTTCTTCCCGCACAAACAAACACATTTTGGACACAGAAAAACACATCCAAGCACAAAACCTTTATGTTTTCTCCTCTGACTCCAATTAAATAAATGCATATAACCCATTTTGAAGTGATTATTAGACAAAAAATAACGTAATCAGCTCATAATTTGGAAGCCATCAAATGAAAAATCTTTCAGACGCACCAAGAAGATCATCATGTTCCATCAAGACATCAACATGTTTTTCCCCCAAAAATAGACATCAACATAACTCCAGAATAAATTTCTTAAGAATATATAGATACAAACGTTTTAATAAAATTTATTGGTAGTGGAGGAAGACAAGAACTAAGAAGATGAAGATGAACCGTCTCTGGGTGAGTGAAGAGGAAACAAGGGTAAGAGCTCTGGTGGGTCAGACCCTCTGGGTGTACTGAGCGGACTCGGGTGCAAGTAAAAACCTTTCTCTGCAATGGCTCTTTCTTCTTCCTCCATAGGTGACCTTGGCGTTCTTGGACTCCCACGTGCCAACAGATCAAAAGGTGACACAGGTGAAACCATAACCATCTCTCCACCAAACCCTACAAAGCTCCTTTGCCTAGCTGAACTTGGGGTTGACCCACCAGACCCAACTGAAACACCACCACCATTGTTGAGCTTGATCTCGAGCTTGCTTGCACTCTGCCTGCGTTCATGAAGCTTAAAGGCTGGTCTCCTAGGACCCATCTCGCCGGTGTTGGGTTTTCCGGATTGGCGTGCCGGAACGGTGACTGGAAGCTTTTGGGTTGACGGGTCTTGGGTTACACCAGTGAGTCTCTGGACTACAGCTCGGAAGGTTGATGGGTCCGCTTGGACAAAGGTGGTGTTGGGTGTTGTGCTCGAGTCGTACCCTACCGCCACTGATGATGATGACCCATATGCTGAGATGTTGTTTTTGTCGTTAGGGTTAGAAGAAGCCATGAAAATAGCCGGAAGTGTAAGAGATGAACACAGTCTGAAAAAGAAAGCGGGAAGAGAGGCATGAAATGTTAAGTTTTTCTTCTGTTTATAGAGGAAAAGGGTATATAAAGAAGGGAGAGAGAGAGACTCTGAGAGAGAGTTCTCTGGTTCCCGCTCAAGGTGCTTTATGGAACATAGAGTAGTGTTGTAAATGTCAGATACTCCAAGGAAGAAATAGAAGAGTACTAAAACAAATCTGAATAAGTTGCTTTTTCCACTCTACTTCATTATCTATCACTATTATTGCTTTCAGATTAGCCTTAATTTATTACCAAAAAACAAAGGTTTTCATGGAAAGTAACACATAATTTGCAAAATTCTTGTGGTTGTTGTAGTCCTAGTTTAGGTAAAAATCTATGGTTCTAAACTGTGAAAGTAATATTATATCTTAGATGATAGTTTCAGTTTTTCTAATGGGTCGTTTTCTAGATGAGTATAACCAAAGGAACAGAATAAAAACCAGATAGACATAAACATAGCCTTGATTGAAATTATAGACTGAAATCTGTAACCATGAAGTGGGCCTAAACATGGATTGGAAATAGCAAAAAGAGTTGAATTTTTTTTTTTTTCCCATTAATCTCCGGGGTTGTGGGTGGGTCGTTGTAGAGTTGAAAAGTTTGAATTTTGAAAAAGGAGTGTGTGTGTAATAAATGGCAATGAGCTGTGCCTCTGGGGCAATGAATGATGAGTCATGCGGGGTCAGCGGGGCACTGAAACGGGAAACGGGAAACGAGGAAGACGAAGCAGAAGCAGAAGCAGAGAGACAGACGGGGTCAGACCTGTGTGTGTGTGTGTGAGAGAGAGAGAGTTACTATTGTTTTGATTTCTTTTCTTCTTTCTTTGGTAGTGTCAGTGTTGTGGTAGGGGTGAAATTTGTTTGTTTGTTTTTCAAAGCAGCACTTTCTTTTCCCCTTAGTTTGCGTGGGGGAAATGAACTTTGACAACAGAAAAAAGTATCTGCCAGCCTTGTTTCAGTTCTCTTTCTTTTGGCCTTTTGGTTTGTTTGTTTGTTTGTTTGTTTGTTATTTGTTTCTTTGCTTTACTCTTTCTTTCTTTCTTCCACTTACTTGCTTTGCTTGGATGGTTTGTTTTTGTTTTCTAGACTTTCTCCCTTTAAGGAGGGATAGCAACATCACACTAAAAAGTTTTTTTCCATAATATTTCTACAAATAATTTTAGCCCTTTGATCTTTTTTTTTTCCATTCAACGGTCAAGATTAGGGTATTTATGAGATTTTTTAAAGGTTGTCAAAATTCGAACGCCGCACGTCTAATTTTACAGTTCGTCTCTATTATTACTTGACTTACCTTTGAGGTTATCTTATTTTTTATTTTTTCTTAATAATTAATTGTATAAATGATAAACTAAAATAAAATAATAAAATAAACAATCTTGAATAATTGCAAAAAAAAAAGAATATTCGATACAATTTTTTTGTTTTTCCTTGTTTCATTTATCACAAAAAAATCAATAAGGCCAAAGCATATTTAATTAAAATATGCGATGTTTCTCACTTTAATCTTCATTCTTTTAACTATATAATTTTAATCTTTAAATTTTTTAAATATAGTTCAACAAGAAAAAGGTTTACAAAATTGTCACGAGAAGTGACTAAACATGGTTATTATTTCATTTAGTAATTTTAAATTATCGTTCTCCATGCAATTATTTTTAAGTCTATGTTGAAAACTTTATGAACTTAGACCTTAGCGTAACAATTTCATTAGGACTATTTTTGTACTTTAACTTAGCAACTAGTGTATGACATGATCCAAATCATTTGCTCCAAAAGTAGCTTGCAGAAATAGTGCTAATAATTTAACATAATATTTTCAACTAATTATGTGCTAATAGACAAAATTTAATAGTATTATTATAATCATCACTCACTTTTTCATTTAATTATGCCAACGAACATAACATTAATTCGACGTTTTAAGTTCAATTATCATATTCTGATACTATTATTGTACAAGATAATGTGACACTAGCTCTAATTTTGTTCTTTTTTGCACTCTTATCTATTACTTAGCAAATTATAGTGACAATCTCCCCCTCCCCCCAAAATCCTTCATACCTTAAAAAAAAAAAAAAAAAAAAAAAATTTAATGTTGTATGAACAAGTCATCTATCGATTACCTTGGGTTTCACCATGTTGCCCATCCAGGGAGGGAGAGAGAGAGAGATTCCATGTGTTTGTACTACATCAAAAAAGTTTTAAAGGGTCAATCACATTATCCATTTTTTTAATAAAAAAAATTGATTATTGATAGAATAATTCATAATCACCGAATTGACAATGAGCTCAGACATTTGTTGGGATCCGTTATTAATCTAATAACTGTGATGAATTAAGTTAACAAATACTGCAAACGAAAAATGTTGTGTTGCCCAAATCTTGTACACTAAATGCATCTGCATCGCACACCAAATTGAAAAAAGCTAATTTTGTGGACCCCACAACAAAATATGTGCGGTGCAGATACATTTGAGGCATAAAATTTGGGCTAAAACTTAAGCAGCATAAGTAAGTATACTCTTATGTGGAACATATTAGATCCAATTAGTATTATTAAAAAAAAAATTTACAAACTAGTCAAAAGCCAATTCTAAGATGTCATGGGTGGGTATAAAAGTATACTCTTGAGAAAGTATGATTGGTAGTAGATGCCAAGGGAACACTAAAATCATAAAAATCTTTTTTTGTGGAGGACAGTATCATTACCAAGCAGACTAAATTCCCAAATGATATCAAGGTCTAGCTAGGATTAACTAACTAACTAATATCATTGTTCATCTCCCCCCAAAACAACCCACTTCAACAAGGTGATTATTAAATAAGCAGAATAATTACTTTTATGACCCAGCTAAGGTTTCATGTTCCTCAGTTGACAACTTTTGCTTTTTGTGACCAACTAAGGGCTTTATAAATCGCTTAAATTAAGGACGGACGGACACTGTCTTTGTTTTCTCAAACCTACCAAGGAAGAAAGCAAGATTGACCTTTTAGGAAAAGGAAATAAATAATATTTTTCTTATATATTATTATGGCCTATATATATAGCTTGAGCACTTCCCAAATATTTTCTGTGGTAGTACGGTGGCCGAATTAGTCCACTTTATTTAAACTTTTTATTTGAGTATTTTTTTTTATTGGTTGTGAGTGGTAGTGGTGGCGGTGGTGGTGGTGGTAGTGGTGGGTTGCTCACTGACTATCCTTATGTGTTAGGGGTCTTGGTCACTCTTTCTAATAAGATATTATAGAAGAGACAATCCTTAAGTGTTAGGGGTCTTGGTCACTCTTTCTAATAAGATATTATAGAAGAGACAGCCTTGCTAGGCAAGGCCAAGCCGAGAAAAAGAAAGAATAATAATGTTACACTAACAAAAAAAATAAAAAATAGCGAAAATTAGGGATCAGTTCTATTTGGAAGACTCCTAGTCTTAAATATTTTTGTTATTAAATTTTAAATTAGTAACCTTATTTGGTAGTTAAGTACATTTTGAGTTTCTTTTTTTTTTTATTATTAAAATATCTTTATTGGTTAGTTTTAATGATATAAAGAGATTCATAATTCATTAGGAGAGCGATTTTCATAAATCTTGACATTTTTCATGGTAAAATAAATTCTCATAATTGATTTTCATATCTCCTCTATTTTAAACTCAAATCTAAAATTCATAACTAGGAGCGTCGATGATAATACTAATAATTGTCTTTTCATGAAGTTTACTGCTTAAATCAATAAATAATGCAGAGGTTCTCCCTCCGTATTTATTTAGAATACACAAAGCTTATGCTTTGACAACTATGTCTCTAGTGAATTTTTATGAGTGGTAATGGGACGAACTATAAATTCAGATATTTTAAGTTCATATCTTGACAATTATTTGAGAGTAGGTCATGAGAGATTTATACGTCATAAATACCCTAATCCTAGCCTGAATAGTCTACCTTTAATCGAACTAAGAAAAGAATAAGTCAAAATACACGTAAATTGATCCGAATAACTTTTATGATTGAAAAAAAAAAAACTAGAGACCTCTAGTGCCATGTGATGGGCACATTCATGCGTAAATTCTCCAATTGGTCTACTGTCCAGAATTTAGACCCATAAAATCTCTGCATTTTTTTATGAATGTTCTTAGACAAAAAGGCCAAGCCTTGGGGCTATCTATTGAGTTGCCCAATCCGTGAGGCCGATAGCTGCGGCCCATGGTCCTTCCCATTGGCCAGCTTGGCAACATTCGGCCCACCAGATGACAAAGGTACAAACAGCCATTACGCTTTCACTTTCACCCAATAATAGTGGAATTTTTAATTAAATTTTCCTGAATTATAAAGATGGGTTTCATTTAAGTTTATAATAGATGATTTTTCATTAAATAAAATGATTAGAATACGTATCAAAATTGTTCTACACCCATTGATTTTGGTTGATATGATATGTAATCTTTAATTAAAAAATAATAAAATTTTATATGTGTTATATTTTTATTAAATAAAAAAATACAATATTGAAAAATTATTTTTTTTTAAATTATTGAATAGGATCAGAATGAAAGTGTTGCGTGTGGGTCGCAATCCTATGTTCATGACTCAAATCCAACCTTCAGTCGGGGTCTCGTGGACCCACCACCGCCTTCTTAACTTCATCCTTTAAGACAAAGCAGACAAAAATAATTTCTAACAACCTTACAAAACTTCGGTATCAATTTTTTTTTTTTTTTTTTGTTTATTATAAGATGTTCAGTTTTATCGATTATTTTTTTCGAACTCTGTCAATTAAAATAAATTGTCAATATAACTATTATTATTAAAACCAGAAGAATAACAATCAAAACATTGTATAATTATGTATTAAATATGAGCGATGAGTGTTTATTGTAGAAGACTTTTTAAAATCCTGCAATTTTAGTTTTAAGATAAAAAATAATATATAATTTTGAATTCAAGA